AAAAAGCTGGAATTTAGAGGGTCGGTCACAATCCAGCGTGTGACTGTGGGCACGGCACAAACTCTTGCCTGCTCCGTGTCTTCACTACACAATTTCCGAATCAGATTATGCTCTCCCTGGGTAACTTTTCACTTCTAAAATCCTCATTTTTACATATTTCTTCCTAATATTTACTCTACATCTCTGTTGCTTTAAATTTACTTTCTGCTCCCCTTGCAGTTGGTGGGAATAAAAACAGCCGCTCGTCATCACCACACATGTCATATGTGATGTCATGTACGCAGAACCCATAACACCAATACAAAACTTTTTTTAAGGCTTGGAGGTTGCTTAGTCTGGGCTAATGATTGTGCTAAGGTCTCTATTTATTTATTCCATTTGCTCAAGGTCCTGAAGCCAGCAAGTGGCGAGGCCGGGATTCGAGTCTAATAGCCTCCAGATCCAGTGACCCCCCCCCACCCACAAGATGTCGCTTATCTGTGGACAAAAATCACAACCACGTTTGGATGATAGATATTAAAGGCTGCAGGAGCCACGGCAAAAACTCCACATGTGACCCCACCTATCAGTTTATATGTCTCGCCACCCCACCTTCCACTCTGGTGAGCAGAAATTACCGGCACAAAATTACAGCCTATCACCCTCGGGGGTACTTTTTAGTCAGCAGTAGGGAGGGGGGGAGAAAGCCACAGAATAGACACATGTAACAATCACACAAAAGCATCCAAGCACACATCATAATGATTTATTTGCATTTTGCACAGAGTGTGAGGAGCCTTGCTTTTTCCTTTCTTTCAAGTTGGAACTCTGATTTCCCATGCTAACCATAATGCTCCTTTACTGAAAACATTTATACATCATCAATTTCAACAACACACATACTCTATGCCATTCATCGGAATGGAAAACAATCACAAAAGAGGCCAAGGCGGAACCGCTGTGAAGACCATAACATTTATTGAAGGGCGGACATAGGTTTGCAAATCACGGCGCTGCATGGGCATACAATCCGTGGTTCAGAATGGTGTTCCAAGTAAGCTTTTAATAGAGCCTTCTCATATAGTCCCTTTTAAAAACAATTAACAAAAGGGGGAGAAAAAAGTGTCAGTTGCAATTACATTTACAAAAACCAAAGTGCAGCTTTTATTTAGAATGAATCTGTGCTCGACTACTTGGATGTACACACGATTATTTGGACCTATGCACACATTTCTGTAAGGCAGAAGTTTCCCATGAATAATAGCTCTAGGAACCCAAAGAGTATCTCAGAAAATTGTCAAGCTTAGAGAACAGGCAACAACTGCAATAGAATTTATATCATTTGCCCCAATTACTACACCACTTTGCCCTCAAGATACTCAATTCAGCATCTTATTTTGGAGTAATAAAGGAAAATTCATCTGACAAAGGGCATGACGCAGAATGCATCTATAAAAGACACTTTTCATCTTAATGTTGAAAAGCTGACTTACTTTCTTTTCTTCCAATGGAAGAAATGTTGGCCAAATTGTCAAAAAAAAAAAAAAAAAAACCAAACAACAAAAAAAAAACTCCACCCAGCTCTTAATGTGGAATTTAACCTCTCATTTTCTTCTAAAAGTTATCTTTTAACAGCAGTAATAAAAAAAAAAAAAAAAAAAACTTCGTTGGAGGCATTTAAACAATTTAAAGGAAAATATCTATGTTGGTAGGAAAAAGAAAAGTTATTCATTTTTCTGAACTACTGTGTCATTTTTTGGGTTTTTTTGGTGGGGTTTTGTTTTTTTGTTTGTTTTGCCCTTCACAGACATATCTAAAACAGTGATCATGGAGTAGAAATTTGATTTTATATCCTTAGAGATAATAATATGAAGCTAAAGAGTATTTTCCAAAGAATCTGGTAGTGTAAAATATCTGATGTAGGAATATCTAACCGATGACCACTGAGATCGCTAAGAGTAAAATGAGAAAATTCTAAACCAGTAAACCTTGCTGATTTGCTCTGCTCTACACAACTTACTATGTTTAATACAGCATCTATCACAGCTTTACTCAAAGCACAAGTTGTGAGCTGACTGAATTCTAAGCCCGCCCCGTACTTGGCCCTTGGTCTGAATAGAGAACTGACAATTTCAGGTTAGACTCTGGCTCATGTCTTGTATGTCTCTGGACATATTATTTTACTTTTCATCCTTTATTTACTTTTGAGATTCAGAAATCTCCTATCTGCCTGAACATGATGCTTTGATACCTAATTTAATATTACATGTAAAAAGTTACATAAATCTAGTATTTTGTCTAAAAATGTCATTTTCTTTAACTTCTCTTTTTGTTATTCATCAATGCCCATGCAAGGATGGTGCTGTTTATGGTGCTCAGACTCTTCACAGAGAACAATCCAGATATGCTCATCTCAGTTTTCTGGAAGGTGCTTCCTAGCCCCTGGTACATCTGGTTTCTCTTCACATAGAAGACTGTGCAGCATCTGCTTGGTATCTCGGCTGGATTTTTCCCAGGAGAACCTACGGGGGAATGCCGACTTGCACTCCGAATTTGTAAATCACAGTCATAAAATCGGATGAAAATACACATATGCTCCTCACTATCAGTACACCGAATTTATAAACCCAAAGCTGTCAAAAAGAAGAAAGTTGAAGAAATACCTTCATATATGTCTATGTGATTATTTCCCCAGCCTTGAAAAGTGCTGGCCTTACACATTTGCTCATTGTTTTTAAAAATCACATTCCTTTCATTCAATCAATAAACATTCAGTGAACGCCTGCTGTGAGTGGCCACTGTAACCTTTCTCTCCTGTCTAAAAGAACGCAATGGGGCTTTATTTAGTGGGTGGAAGGCAGCAATAAGCACACATCGATTTATGCTTGAGTTTTGACGTCAGTTTCAAGGTAATCTCTTTCATATAGGAGGAAAGAAGGAAGATCACGGTAAAGAAGGGAAGGGAGAAAGGTGCTCAGCACCTACTAAGTGTCAAGCACCAGGCCAAGAACTCTGCGGCTGTTTGATGTAGCTTGATGTAGAACTATAGAAGGTATTCACTTTCCCTGTTCTATGGACAAGGATAAAAAGCTTTTGATGGGCTCAACTATTCAAGACCACTCCCCATGCTACACTGTAGTTTATCTTCCAAACAGATTCACCAGCTGAAGAGGCAATCGAAATCTGATTCCAAAATCTGAACTAAGATCCGAGGATCTCCAAAGTCAAAACTCAAGGCTTACTGTGTTTGTTGATTTTACACCACCAAGATGCTGTAAGTTTCTCGGGACAAAGAAACCACTTGAGTACAGCTGTTCTAATTTGCTTCAATTCCTTTGGTGGGAAGGAGGCCTTGCATTTCCTGAACCAAGAGATATCTTATGTAAATAAAATCTTTCTTTCCTCAGCCCCAAAATGTTGTTAAAAGATGAACTGAACAAAAATTTTACTATACTCCTCCAAATTCCTCAGTGTTATGAAGTAAAAGTCTCTATTACTTAATGTCTCTTGATGTTCTAGGAAATACAAATCAAGATGCTCCTCTAGTTCTGATCACATATTTGTCCCTCAGAAACTTTGTTTACCTTTCCCTATTAAGGATATCATAAATGTTAGATAAAATTTAAAATGCTATAAAACAAAATTACTCATCCTAACAGTAATTGTCTTCAGATACAATTCGTGGTAAGACTACTTCCTTTCTCTAATCTTCTAACTCTTGCCTGATCTTGATTTGATGCAAAAGGAACTGAGGGGTTCCTTTAATACTTCTCTGCTTAAAGCTTTCTCTGTCTGGCTTTAGGTAAGAAGTCTTTCAAGTCCATTGGCTGACTCAGCATTCTAGATTGTGACTCTTAATTTAGTTAAAAGGTCATTATTTTCAAATTCCAATAGCAGACACCAAGAGATCCAAAATTCAGCAAGCTAACTGCACTTAGATATTACACAAGTAGAAAATAAAACTTGAAATGACCAGAGTCCCTTTTCTTGGTTACAGTAGATTGCATTATAATGCCAATGGTGAAAATAATAGATTTTTCAGATATTGGGTTCTTTCTAGCAACAGTTCAACAAATGCATGTAAATGCACATCTGTGAAATAAATCTGCCAAGATGCTGCACCTGGAAATGGGGTCTTGAACAGGAAGCCATTTATTATCGCAATAAATTTTATCTGTAATCTATCCAGACCCCCCACTCCTTAAGAAAAATCCAGCCCAGGGGTGCCTGGGTGGCTCAGTGGGTTAAAGCCTCTGCCTTTGGCTCAGGTCATGATCCCAGGGTCCTGGGATCTAGCCCCACGTTGGGCTCTCTCCTCAGTGGGGAGCCTGCTTCCCTTCCTCTCTCTCTGCCTACTTGTGATCGCTGTCAAATAAATAAATAAAATCTTTTAAAATAAAAGAAAGAAAGAAAGAAAGAAAGAAAGAAGGAAAGAAAGAAAGATCGATCCAGCCTGGAAATCTGAAAGACTCTGGTTCACTTGAAAAAAATTTAAAAATTAAAAAAAATATGTGAAAGGTTGATTGGAGTCTAATCCTCACTTATCTGCAAGCTACATACAGTTTAAAGGACCATTTATACATGTTTGCAAGCTTCATTTCCTTGCGTTTGCATTTAAGAATGAGACTGATTTTATGGTATCAAAATTAATCTCTAGAAGTAGATAAACTATGTAAACCTTACATTTTTAAAGACCTTGGAGAACTAAACTGCTCACCTAGAGACTAGCACACACCAGGAAGAAAATGAACATAAGATGCTTCTCCTTTGGGAGTTTCCTAGTCTTGAGCTTCACAATACTGAGGTAAACTTTAGCAGATCGTGTGTACTTCCAAGTAGTGCAGGAAAGATTCTGTAACAGGACTAATGGCTCATGGGCTCTCTGAAGCTGCCTAGCTGTGCTCAGCCCCCCACCCCAGCCTGTGGTATACCTGGACCTTCTTTGATAATTTCCTTTCAATTACTTTTTTGGTCCCATCAATATGGCTGCATTTTCTAAGCCAAATTTTGGCTTTCTACCCACAGCCAAAGGCAGGCACAGTAAAAATTAGAAAGACTCCAGATGTGTCTTGATGTCCTTCCCCCACTCTATTCTACTCTCCTTTTGGGCTGTGGTTATGCAGGGCTCCTAATGGCTGCCACTGCTGACCTCCCTGCCCCCATGGGCCTGACATCAGAAACCTGAATGGGGTGGGGGGAGGGGGGATGGAGAACAGCAATGGACATGACAGTCCCCAAGGAGTGAGGAAAACTAGAGATCAAGTTACATAGCTGATCTTGCTCAGTTGTCTGTGAGAGCAAGATACCATTCCTGGTCCTAACACTACACTTTAGGTTAAATTAAACGCTAGAAGTCAGAACAAACCCTTTCCCCTTGCCGATGTTCCTCAATTCATCAGCTCTATGATCCTACCTATACACGAAATAACTATGAAAAGCACCTTAAAATAAGAGTTCTGTCACCAAACTATTCTATAGAGAATCATATAAAATATCTCAACCCATGAAAACACAGTCATATATGGAGTGAAAAAAAAAAAGATGTATGCTAAAATATAAAAGTAAAGGCCCTAATTCTCAAATTAAAGGCTCATATGGAAATGACGTAATGATGAGCCAATGCCAGAAACCTGCTTTTTGTCTTGAATTACACTTAAAATTAGTTATCACCCAAACGTCTTAGCCATCAAGAATTCAGAGAATGGAGGGGAGGATTCCCAAAACAGGCACAAGACCTGATCTCAAAAACCAAACTCAGTACCTCTTCATGTATGATGTTTTTACTGCCTTGTTTCTAGCTATTATAAGTTAGTTACCCAGTGTACTAAGTTGATTATTCCAGAATTTTTCCAAGCAAAAAGTTAAGCTGTTGAGTATTTCCAGGGTCATCATCCATTTCCCTTTTTGAAAGAAGTTTCTAAATATGCCCATTTCCAGTCTTCAGGCACCTCATGAGTCCTCCACGAGTTCTCAAAAATGATATCTAGCGGTTCTGTGATGACTTCGGCCAATTCATTAAGTACTCTAGGATGCCAGCCATTGGGACCTGTGGATTTGAACATATCGGGGTTATTGAGGTTTCTCCTTTACCCATTCTTCCCCTAGTCCATCATGGGTTCCTGCTCCTATTTTTTTTTAAGTAAACTTGACCCCCCAGTGTGGGGCTTGAACTCATGACCCCAAGATCAAGAGTCACATGCTCTACCAACTGCTGCTCCTATTTTTAAGTCACAATTGTCCCTTTCTGGTTACCACATGGACTTCTGAAAAAACAGCATTTTTAAAGACTCTATTTGTCAGAGAGAGAGAGACAGAGAGCACAAGCACAAGTAGGAGTGGCAGGCAGAAGGAGAAGCAAGCTCCCGCTGAGGAAGGAGGCCGATGCAGGACTCGATCCCAGGACCCTGGGATCATGCTCTTAGCTGAAGGCAGATGCTTAACCAACTGAGCCACCCAGGCATCCCTGAAAAAAATAGCTTTAAGTCTCTGTTTTTTATCTATCCATTTTCTCCTTGAAGTTACTAAATGAAAAATGTATTTTATTCTTTTCCAACCTGTCTTATTTAAAAAGGTTCTGTTTTTCCTTTTACAGTTCTTGTAAGAACAAGAAAGTTAAAAAAGAATATTAATGAAAAGTATATCTTGCAACAGTTTTTCTCCCTAAATCACACCCCTCCCTATGACATCCGAGCATCCTTGGTTAACAGAGCAAGCATCGACACACTTGGGGACATTTTACCGGCCACCTATCTTGTGCTCAGAGGGTACAGATCTATCTGTAAGCACTAACTCAAAGAGCACTTTCTGAAATAAAAAAGATTCACAATCATCTTTAACTAGAATCATCTGTATGCATAAACAGCAACTTTCTTCACATAGGCATTTAAAAAGCATAGTTGCACACGAGCTGGAAGAAAGGAAGAATGACTCCCCACAAAGCAGGACCCTGGTAGAATTCATCTGTGTGGTGTGGTCATCTGTGCCAATGTTCTGGGCCTGCTATTACACTAATTATCGCTGAGCTCTGATAGGTGTTGACAGTTTTAACCCCTTCGCTGTCACGGTGATGCCTCAGAAACTGAAAGCCAACCACAGATTACAGTTTCTTGCCCATATGTTGCCGTTTGCCCCAAATCCCCTGACAGTTTGAGAACAGACAGAGGGGAGGAAGAAAGCAAGAGAGAGCTATGGTAGAAGGAGGGGCCCTGAGTCTTCTGTGTGATTTCTGATCTGACAGGTGGATTGTGTTACTTGGACTCCACTGTTGACTTGTTTCACTTTGTTTTCCAATTCGAAAAGCTTTTGGTAAAGGTTGAATCAATTTTGTTGTCTTTTGTTTTGTGTTTCTAGTCGCTATCTCTCCAGTCTTACCCCCAGTTTCATCTCTTAAAGCTGTGTTAACTGAAAAAAAAAAAAAAAAACAAAAACACATTGCAGACACCATTAAAAGACAATCTTTTTAAAAAATAATTCTGCACATTTCTCTAGGGTACAACAATTTGTTTTAGCACATGCCATTTTCACCCCTGTTCAAATAGCCACCTGCTGATGGCAATATGTTAACTAATATGTCATTATTAATTAGTTTGGGTAGTATCATCCAACAATTACATCTAAATGGAGAAAAAGTGTTAATATCCATGCTCAGGAAAAAGTGTTACTATCTATTCTCAGGGAATCAAGATCTTTATGAGTCTTTTTGTTTTCTATATTATTAAGTAATAAATTCATACCACTAATTACTAAATTCAAATAATCATTCAAATAAACTCATACCTAAGGCAGTGCCTCTATTAAAATCACCTTCAGTTACAAACTGTGGAAAAGTAATGTTCAATCTGTTTTGACAAACTAATTTTTCGGCAGGGAACAAGGGGAAGTTTGTAGAGGAGGGAAGTCACCCTAATATAAAGAAGGCAAGAGTCCTTTTTTTTTTTTTAAAGATTTATTTATTTGAGAGAAACAGAAAGGGCATAGGAGCATGGGGAGGGGCAGAGTGGGCGGGAGAGAGAGAGAGAGAGAGAATCCCAAGCAGACTCTATGCTGAGCGCAGAGCCTGATGCAGGGCTCCATCCCATGACCCTGAGGTCATGACCTGAGCCAAAATCAAGAGTCAGACACTTCACCAACTGAGCCACCCAGGTGCCTCAAGTCAGTCCAGTTTCTAATGCTGAAACAGGTGAATGAATGAAAAGGCATTCCACCAAAAACTTTACTAGTCAATACAGTGCAAGAGAAGGCACTGAAAAAAAAAAAAAGAGAGAGAGAGAGAGAGAAAGCAGAAAGCGCCTCAGGTTACGGTATTAGGGGTTTCTGAGATGGCAGGAGGACCACAGCCAGGATCAAGGAAGGGAAGGAAGAGGCCACATCGGAAGGACAATCTTATTAAAATGGAAGATTCTCAGGTGCCTGCCCATGCTAGATAGAGCTCTGGACGTCAGAAAGATGGTCTCATCTACCTTTAAAAGGTCATTTTTATTCTAGGAATCTCTGAAAGTGAAGAAAATGCCTTTGGACAGGTTATCACCAGCAAGCACAGACACCTCCGTATTAAACCCCTCTAAAGATGTGGACCGCAGAATCATTCACAAATCTAGCATCATGCTGACGGCCTGCGAAACCTCCTGAGCCTTTGGTTCAACAAAAACAAATCACGTTCATTAAACAAGCCCAGCCTTGCATTTGGCTATTTTCCGTACTTTGGGGGAGAAGGTGGGAGGCAGACAAACAGGCTCTCCACAGTTGGGTCACGGAGAGTTTTCACGATGTGAGAACAGTCTCGGAGAGCAGTAATGAGCCCAGTGCACGTGGCCACATGATCACAAGGAAACACTGCCTGATAGATCCCACTCTTCGTGTGGAATAGAAATGAACAGGTTTTTAAAGTTCTGGCTGGCTTTCGGGAGAGAACAGCTGTAAGTTTAAGTCTTAGGGGCAGACAGGCACCGCCAGGCTGGCCTCATTCCACAGAGCTGCTCTCACCTCACCATGCTTTTTTTCATACTTCCTTTCCTCCTCTAAATTATCTGGGATACGCCCACCAAGAGAGAAGCTCTCTAAAAATCTGCTTATATGTATCTATCAAAAGGCTTCTTTGGATACAGTACTAGGTTGACAAAAAAAAAATCATGCATGGCATTATCTCAACTCTGGTCCTTTCTAGAAATCATGAAAGCCAACCTCGGGTACAATAAATAGCAGGTTATATTTTTGGTTCTATCAGTGCTCCTGGAGTCTTGCTCTTGTGAATAATGAAGGCCAGTAGTTTGCTTTTTTTTGTTTGTTGTTTTTTTGTAATGTTCCAAATTGTATCTCCCTATTTCTAGGGAAATACTGTTTAAAAAAAAAAAAAAAAGTTTCTTAGCTCAGTGGCCTCATTCTCCCCCTACCTATCTTTGAACAAGACACTGGGTACTGTGCATAAACAATGAATTTTGGAAGACTGAAAAGAAACAAAATAAAATAAAAGCAGTGTCAAGCAGAGTTCTTATATTAGGGCTACACAAACCTAATTCTTGAACTGAACTATGACTTTCTCAGTTATATTCGTTCTATTATGGGAAAGAGGAGGGGAAGTGGGGGAATTCTTTCATTTCACAGATATTTGCCAATTCTAATCTATGTTAGAGTTCCAATCTGAGAAACAGAGAGGGGCAGCAAAATTTATTGAATGAATAAAGAGACTATTGTCCTGTGGTTAAAAATGAAGATTTATGAGATTACATTTTTTTTCCTTAGGCGATTATTCTGAATTTTAACTGATTTCAAGTCTGTTACTCTTCTTAGCTTGGGATTTTTCACCACTAACTAAAGACAATCAGAGTTATATGAAGGCTATCCCATATAAAAATTATTTCCCTGTTGTGTTATTATTCTAAAGGATAGAGCTCCATTGTAGACGTAGAATCAAGAGACGGAAAATCTCTGCATTTGGTTGCTGGGATAAACACCCACAACTAGTGAGTATACACTAATATCCCATATAATTCCTTACAAGGGCGGGGGACAACCATCTCATAAGGAAAAATTAAGATTCATGGTACAAATACTACCTTCTCTCCTTCTGGATGACACAAGGGGGACAAAGTTGAATCTGTGGGTGGCCCGGTGACAAGACAGAAAGGTTTTTTTTTATGTCATGACTTTCTCAAGCTAAGTTTACCAACATGTGGCCACAACACATTGCCTCTTGTTATGGAACCCAGCATGGTTAGAATTGGGGGGCTTAAATCCAGCTTCATTTTAACTCTAAACTTCAAGCACAGAAACGCATTGCATACTTCTTTGTATCTCCAGTGGGAATATATATACTACTGCTGATTGATTGAATCATCCACAGTATAATTTTTATGTATAATTTCTCAGTAAACTAAGTTTCTATGGAAAATACTAGCAAGTCAGCTGGGAGCACATTTTCCTTTGCCTATACAACAGAGAAAAACTTTTCGATATATATCCACTCTACCAATAATGGTCGACTTTCAGTTCCTCAAAAGGCTTCTGAGGGTCCCCTAGGGAAGGCCTAAGCCACCTCCCAGACCCCACTAAGCTGGAGGATGCCCTCTTATGTTAAAAAATTAGCTGGCTTCCATGTCCTTTTTCTGCTAGAGGAATCATACAGGGCAGATTTCCCAGGGACTTTCTGTCCAAGACTAAAAAATGTTTGACCTAATCCAGAATGATCTACGTATATTGTTTTTTTTTTTTTTTGTCTGTTTTTTTGTTTTGTTTTGTTTTGTTTTGTTTGTTTTTTTACTTTTAACACAAACCCCCGATGCCATATAAACTCTTCTGTGCAGTTCTCCTATCTGTCTTCATCTCTGGTGTGTCCTTGCGAAGTACCGATTTACTAACCAGTGCCTGAAAAAAGAAATTCAGTAGGCTAAAATAAACTGCACAAGCACGCTTCTCACTCCCTCCTCTCAACCCACATGGGTTCTAAACTTCACTCAGGACTTATCTGCAGGTTTTCAGCAAATGGAAAGTATACCGGGGAGGCTGGAAATTTTCCTACCCGCTTATTATTCAGCAAACTCTCAGGAACAA